ATCACCTCCTTGGTTCTGTTTGTCATGCATCTGCTGATGCACGATAAAGTGCCATTAGCTTTTCTGATGACTTCGTCACGCTGATGACTCGTGTTCATCTTGGAGTCCACTAGGACTCCATTTTTCCTCCCTAGGTGCAGCACTTTGCATTTCTCCTTGTTGAATTGCATTCTGTTGTTTTCCACCCATATGTCCAGCCTGTTCAGGTCTGCTTGTAGTAGTTCCCTGCCCTCTGGTGTGTCCACTTCTCCCCACACTTTTTTGTCATCCGCAAACCTGGACAGAGTACACTTCACTCCCTCGTCCAAGTCGCTGATGAAGACATTGAAGAGTATCGGTCCAAGGACCGAGCCCTGCGGGACCCCACTGCCCACACCCTTCCAGGTTGATACTGACCCATCCACTACAACTCTCTGGGTACAACCCTCTAGCCAATTCGCCACCCACTGGACTGTGTAGTCATCCAAGTCACAGCTTCTTAAGTTGTGCTCTTTTATCTATTTTTGATCACCTCATCTCTCAAAAGCTGTACTTTTTAGAGAAAGCTGTGAATTCTAAGGCACCATATTTTTTTTTCACAAACTTGGTGCACCAGATAAGATGCAACTTGTTTTTGGAAAGGGGGGAAAAGATTTTTCCAGTGTTATAGCTTAACCCAAAGCTGAAACCCATGCTCATGGATGGATCTAGGATTTTGAAAATGGTGGCATGGTTCATCATCTCATTTTGAAAACAATGCTGAAAACGATTTTGAAAATAGCGTTGTGGTGCATTATCCCATAATATATTTTGCTCCAGTTAAAAAGAAACTAGAAGCTTTGCTAATATGCTAGGGGCCCAGGAATATATTATTCAGTTTAAATTCCAAACAAAAATAATTGTAACTGAGTATGGGGGACTGACTGCTAGTTCTAGGGTGGGACGGGCATCTTGTGTCAGGGGTACAGTTGTTCTTCCCCCACCTGGCCACAGACTGCTCCATGTACAACCACATGTGGGTTCCTCAGATGCTCCACCATGGCCTCACAGTGCCCCTTGCTGTCATTCATGCATTACCCCTGCCACCTTAATACCCCCTGGCTCTACTTTGTCCTTTGTTACCCCATATATCCCACCCCACTGTGTGCCAAACCCACCAGACCCCTCATGCCATGCTGAGTCCTACCTTACCTCCTCACTGCATCCGTAAATACACTGTTCCCATGAATCCACAGCACTGTGCACAGTCCTGTCCTCATTACAACCCAGTGCCCTGACCCCTTACCACCTCCTTATGCACACCTGAGCCCTCCCCTGCCCCTCTGAGCATTCATGCTCCTCACTGAAATCTCTTACATCTCCACCATATCTCATTACCAACAACTCCCTCATACTGGGGATGGCCATATTATGGTTAAGGGAATCCAGGATGGGGGTGGGGGGCACTGCCACTGTGTGTATGTGTACGTGCATGCACGCACGCATGCCTCCCTACCTGACCCTGTCACTCCCAGTAGCCCTGATGGTGGGGTGGGATGGGGCAGCATGGAGGCCCATGCCCGGGTTCCATCCCCTGTGTGCAGACGCTCGACCCAGCTGGGAGTGGCCCTTCCTCCTGGTACTGGCAGGCATCTGGGGCCAGCACTTGCAGCCTGGGCCTCAGTAGCAGCTGCAGTGGCAGGACACAAGGCTGCCGGCAGTAGGTGGCCATCCTGGCTCACCCTGCGCAGCTACACGAGCCCCAGCCCTCTCCCTTGGCCTGGTCTGCCCTAGCTGATCCCCACCCCATGCAGGTGGAGTGGTGTCCAGCCCAGCCCACCCTATGCCTCCAGTCGCTTGTCAGCAAGAGCTGGGTCTTGCACTGCAGGTGGCAGCAACCTCTGCCTCTGCCTGCAGCAGCCAAATCTGGGCCTTTTGCTTCAATTTACACCAACCAGTGGGGAAGCCGGGATGACCTATGAAATCTGGGGCTGTCCTGGCCAATACAGGATATATGGTCACCCATAGCCCCAAACCCCATCTGCCCCTCATACCTCCCCACCCAGATAATGTCCCAGGCTCTCCTCACCCTGCACCTCCCTAGTCCACAGGCTCCCTCCCCTTCAAAAACCCCTTGGTTCCCGTGACTCCCAATCCAGACCCTCATGGCCTCCAGAAGACTTTCCCTCAAAGTCCTTCCCAAACAGTTCCCCCTGCCTCTGACAGCCCCTGACCATTGGGCAGCTGGGGGCAGGCCTGTAACTGCCCCTCCACACTCTCTCCCTTCCTCACAGCATGCCCATAGCTGGCTCCATGCTCCATTGCCCTCTCTCAACATTCGGAAAGAAACAGTTGAGTTTAGGGGAGGACTTGCTTCAGCCACTGGCAGCACCACCACCAATCCCTCTCATCCACCAACCTGGTTGCACTGCTGGTTCTGCCTGCCACAGCCTCCAGCATCTGCTGCAGTGAATAACCCAGGAAAGAGTCATTGCAGTAATTTACTGTATTTCACAGCATATAGGTCAAAACGGTGTATAAGTCAACCTCATTTTTATGGTTCAAAAAGTTAGGAATGTCATAGATCTGGCATAAAAGTGAACCTAACTTTTTGGATCAGAAATATAGGGTTGACTTATACTGGTCACTGTGCACCCTCACTGTGGGCTGGGCCCCAGGGGTAGACACATGCTGCAGTGCTGCTTGCAGGGGATGGGGCTGGGTTTGGTGCTCGGCTGGCATGGCCCAGGCATGGACACACTTTACAGAGTAAAGAGATTAGCTGCAATCAAGTAGATAACAATGAGACATGAAGTCAATTGACTCCCTCAGCTCCACCTGAATAGAAATGCATCTTTCACTGCCTGGCAGTTTGTCTTATCCTTCCATGGAGCAGGAGTCAAAGGGTGAACGCAACTGCACTGCTAACTGCCCCAGTGCCCCAAATCCACCATGCCTGATCTGCAGCTGAAGAGTGGTCTCCAATGGTGTATTTACAATTTGGAAAAGAGCTAAAAAAAAGTCTGTAAAGTTGTGAAATAGGAAAAGAGAGACCAGGGTTAGCTAAAACACAGAAACATTTCCCAAAGAACGGTTAACATGATTAGTGTAACATCAAGACCATTAAAAAGGAGACACTATTGTTACCACCTGTGGAATGGAGAACAATGAACCACTAAGTCAATTGACTCAGCTGCCTGAATTCAAGAGCCACTGCTGCTGGAAACAGAAATCAAAGTTGGAGCATGAGTCAAAGCTGAGTGCTTTTATTTTGAGCAGAAAGTCTGCTTCCCCAGTTAAAGCACGTGCCCCAATTTTGAGTGGCTATTTTTTGCAAAAAAGGTATGTGTGGTACTTGAGTAAATATGGTCCAATGGCTTTGAGAAGAAAAATTCTTCAGTATGATTGTAGTGCTGATGAATGGGCATTTAGGAGGTCAATAGAAATAGAAATAGGCCCCTACCTCATGTTACATATATTAGTCAATTACCTGGTTAATTGTTTAATAAATTTAGATGGGTACACGTGTAAAGTTAGACTGGCCAGCTTTAATTTGAAAGTGTGGCAGGACTCTCAGGTAAATCATGTTTAATGAATATTTTTGTCTCTTCCCTTATATTCTGTGAATTAGCAAATATGTACATGCAATGAAAGAAGTTCAAGATATATTTATGGAGCCTGCTAAATATGGAGCAGCATAAAAATAGTAAATGTATCTGCAACCCACATGGCAGGCTCAGAGTTTCTGTTCATACTCATACTCTGCATGTAACTTTGGCATCTGACCATGGACTCTTCTTTACATGTCTGGCCCTGGCTTCAAAACCAACTGAGTGTTCCCAGATCTGCATCTTGCTTTATATATCATTAGGCAATTGCACATTGGCTCATATCTAATTTGCAAGTGCAACTTGTGCAGGCTAAAAGATTAAATCTTGCATGAACTGCCACTGATATTTCTTTGATGTGTTTGGTCTTGCAGGCTTATGGAGTAACATCTTTGCTGTGAATCTGCTTGATATCTGGAATGCCTTTGGTAGTTCAGATAAATTTTGGCAGCAACATGTCCAAGCCAAAATAAAAAATATTGGTAAGTTTCTTATAGTAACTTCTGTCTGTTACTTGTCAGTCCACATTTCAAATAAGGAAAAGGAATGTAAGGAATTAAATCTCCAAGATGTTTTGAGGTTACTGAAAGCTATCCACATCATGCAAGGACCTTCTCTGAAATAAATAGTGATATGCTCAGATGAGATGGTCGAAGTTTCAACACATATACACAGAGGCAGCTAAAATAATTCATAATAAAAGATGACTCAAAAGAGAAAAAAGAATATTTGAAAATGTTCTGGAAACTAGGTAGTAGGGGAATAAAGAGAAAAGTGCCTGGGGGGGCGGTCAGGAGGTGGGTAGAGGCGGCAGCTAGGGCAGGAAGGGTGTTTGTTAGTAACTGAGGGGAAGTGTTAGGTACCAAGATTAGGTTGAGGGTAAGAACAAATGGGGAGTAGAACAGTATTTAGGGTGGAGTATATAGGCTACAAGCACTGAAATAGATTTTCTAACAGTAACAGAAACTGTACCCACGAAGTCCTGAGTCTGTACATACATTTTTTGTCAGAAAACTATTGCAAAATGCGCTGGCAGTGTGTGTACCTCATCTTCCTTCTAGTAACTTGTCCATACAGAGTATAATACCAGATACTCTATTAATTCATGTAGCAGAAGTCTGTGCTGTGGTTCTAAATGTTAGAATGCTGATGATGCTGACTGAAATGGGGGTCAGTACAGTTCAACATGATGGAATTTGTTGGGTTTTTTTTAGGGATTTCTTTTTTAAAAATAGACAAAAAAAAATAAAACTATGTTCAAAGACTATTGAGCACTCAAAAGTTGAGAGCAAGTACTCAAAAGTTAAGAAATACTAGATTTAAGGTTGTGGCTAGGGACAGACATTCAAAAAGTCCGAGCCTGAATTGATTCAATCTTTGCAGGTTAGTCTAACCTACAGAGATTGAACCAATTTGCAAGTGGATATACATTCACTTCTGATTCAGGAAATGTAGGCACTTCTGATTCAGGAAATGACTGCAGTGGCTCAGGTAGAAGCCGGGGGCGCTAGAGTGAGCCCTCCTTTCCCTTCCATGGTGCTGAACTGGGGTGGGGGGGATTGGCCAGACTTCAGCATAATTCATGTAGCAGAAGTCTGTGCTGTGGTTCTAAATGTTAGAATGCTGATGATGCTGACTGAAATGGGGGTCAGTACAGTTCAACATGATGGAATTTGTTGGGTTTTTTTTAGGGATTTCTTTTTTAAAAATAGACAAAAAAAAATAAAACTATGTTCAAAGACTATTGAGCACTCAAAAGTTGAGAGCAAGTACTCAAAAGTTAAGAAATACTAGATTTAAGGTTGTGGCTAGGGACAGACATTCAAAAAGTCCGAGCCTGAATTGATTCAATCTTTGCAGGTTAGTCTAACCTACAGAGATTGAACCAATTTGCAAGTGGATATACATTCACTTCTGATTCAGGAAATGTAGGCACTTCTGATTCAGGAAATGACTGCAGTGGCTCAGGTAGAAGCCGGGGGCGCTAGAGTGAGCCCTCCTTTCCCTTCCATGGTGCTGAACTGGGGTGGGGGGGATTGGCCA